AAAAAAAAACTCAAAACTTGCTACAACAGTACAGTAATCACAACCTTGTTTTGCTAACACAAAGACAGACTAATTTATCAATGGAAGAGTTTGAGAGCTCAGAAGTAAGCCCTTATAATCACTTTATTTTTCAATAAAGATGCTGTGGGATTAATGGAGAAGAAATGGTCTTCACCAATAACATGGGAATAACTGAATACATATGAACGAACTTTGGATTCCTTTCTTATTCTGTATACAGAAAAATTAATTCAAAAGAATAAGAAATCTAAATGTCATATAGAAAGCTATGAAACACTTAGAAAACACAGAAGTAGATCTTTATGCCTTCGACAGTGACTTCCTAGATGTGAAAGGAAAAAGACTAGCAGAATGATAGATGAGAACCCAAACATGTAAAGCATATCTGTGCCTCAAGGGTCACCATTGGGAAAGGAAATGACAATCCACAGGACGGGAGACACACTGTCAATCACATGCTGATAAGCACTTGTATCCAGAACTTCTTCAACTTAGTAATAAAGACAATAGCCCAGTTTTAAAATGGGACCTGAATAGATGTCTGTCCAGAGAAGACACACAAATGGAGAAATATACATGAAAAACAAAACCCAAATGAATGGTTTTCTCTTTTAAAGATTTATTTTTGCCAAGTGGTGGTGGCACACACCTTCAATTCCAGCACTAAGGAAGCAGGGGCAGGTGGATTTCTGAGTTCAAGGCCAGCCTGGTCTAAAGAGTGAGTTCCAGGACAGTTAGGGCTACACAGAGAAACCCTGTCTCAAAAAAAAATTATTTTTATTATTTTTAATTGGGGAGGTCACGTGCATGTAAATAGGGGTACCTTCAGAGGCCAGGATTGTCCGGTGCCCTGGAGCTGGAGTTATAAGTAGCTGTGAGCCACTTGGTGTTGGTGCTAAGAGCCAAATTCAGGTCCTCTGCGACAGCAGAATGCACTGGTAAGCACTGAGCCATCTCTCTCTTCCCGGGAGTGGTTTTCTTAATGAGTGGGAAGTACAACATAACCGTTGAGCTGGGGAGATGGTTCGTGGGTAAGAGCAGTTGCTGAACAAGAATGAGGATCTGAATTCAAACCCCCAGCACCCGCATGGAAGGACAGGGCTACACCTGTAACTACAGCACTGTAGGGGCGGAGGCAGGAGGATCGCTGGGACTTTGCCAGCAGCCTAGCTCCAGGCTAAGTGGAAGACCCTGTCTCTAGGGAAAAGGGCAGAAGTTGATAAAGCAGGATAGCTGACATCCTCCTCTGGCCTCTGTATGTGTGTGCAAGAGCACACCACACCACACCACACACACATGCACACCCAAACACACATACGTGTGCACACACATGTACAAGCATACGCACGCACACAAAATAGCAAGTATTGGAGAACATAGGCATAAACTGAAACCCCCAACTGGTGGAATCATTAAAGGTATAGCCACTGTGGAAAACAAACAAACAAACAAACAAACAAACAGCAATTCTACTGCAGATTTATATTCAAAGAACTGAAAAACAAAATAGGGGTGCTAAAGAGATAGCTCAGCAGTTACAGGTCTTTGCTGAACAGCCACAAGCGCTGGAGTTCCGATCCCTGCACCCACATAACAGGCCAGGCACCCTCTGCATACCTGCAGCCCCAGCTCAGAGGTGGGCAGGGACAGGAAGATCTCTGGTGTTTGCTGGCTTCCAGGCTAGCTGAGGAAATCCAAGCACAGAGTTCAGGGAGCGATTCTGCCTCAAAAGGAGTAAGAGAGCCAGGCAGAGTGTCACAAGCCTTTAAACCTAGCAGTGTAGCAGGAGCAAGGGGCAGGGATAGGTGGATCTCTGTGAGTTCGAGACCAGCCTTGTCTATATGTTGAGTTCCAGGCCAGTCAGGGTGACATGAGATGTGAGATGTATGCACACAGGTGCACACATCTATAACCACACGTGTGTGTACACTGACACACAGACACAAGTACACACACACACACACACACATACACACACACGAAGTAAAACAAAAACCAGAATCAAACGGATAACTGTTTACCAGTGTATGCAAGCAGCATTATCCGTAGTAGTCTAAAAGGTAGAAGCAGGTAAAAGGTAAAAGTCTATCCGCACATGAATGGATGAAGGAAATATGACACAAAGCACAGTCAGTCTGAAAAAAAAATGAAATTCTGATACATGTGACAACATGGACACACCTTGAAAACACCAAGTGAAATAAACCAGAAACAGAAGGACACTTACGTTATAATCCCGTTTACATGATGTAAAAAGTAAAACAGGCAATTCATGGAGACAGAACACAAGTGGCCAGGACTAGGGGCCTTATGCCTTTTAGTGTGTGTGTGTGTGTGTGTGTGTGTGTGTGTGTGTGTGTGTGTGCTAAATGTGTTCGGGTGTCCAAGGAGGCCAGAAGAGAGCATCAGATCGCTCCGGGGCTAGAGATACAGGCAGTTGTAAGCAGAGTTCAGGTCCTCTATAAGAGCAACAAGTGCTCTTAACCTCCAAACATCTTTTCAGTCCTTTAAACGGCAATTTTTATGTTTACATATATTTTTATACGTCTTAATAAAGACTCCTTCATATTCCCAACAATGGTTACACACATACAGAGAAGCAGGGGACAGGCAGGATGGCTCATCAGGCCTGGGCACTTGTCATCGCCAGACTGATGACCTGGGTTCAATCCCAGGAACCCACATGGTGGAAAGAGAACCAGGCCCCAGAGCTGTCTCTAACCCCCACCCCCACTGCTCAGTAGGCACGTGCACATGCCCCCACACACAAGAAGTGCAATGTTTTAAAAAAAGAGAACAACAAGTATTGGTGAGGATGTAACAAAACTGGAGTTGTCCTGCATATGGGTAGAAATGTAACCTGATGCAGCTACTATGGAAAACAGTTTGTCACTTCCTTAAAATAGAGTTAAAAATAGAGTTCCTCCATGACCCAGCAATTCCACCCGATATATACTCGAGAAACGAAAGTTCATGTCCACTCAAAGGCTTGCATATGAATGCTCAAAGCAGTGTGATTCACTGAAACCGAAATATGGAATCAACCCAGCATCTACAAACTGCTTAGAGGAATGAAATGTAGAAACATCCAGTGGGGTACTATTCAGCAACAAAAAGGAGTGAGCTATGAAGAGGTTACCACATGCAAGAACCAAAAACACAGAGAGACAAAGCCAGTCACAAAAGACACATCTGCACAGTTCCATTTTCCATAAAACACACAGAGTAGGCAAATCTGCAGTCACCAAAAGCAGACCAGGGGTTGTCTGTGACTCTAAACATGAGGTGTGACTGCTAATGGGGTGATGAGAATGTTGGTGGTCCCTAAGTTGCCCAGGCTGACCTCAAAGTTTTCATCCTCTCACTTTGGCCTCCCAGGTCCCAGAAGTACAGGAGGGAGCGGCTAAGCCTGGCTGAACAGGTGAAGTGCATTCCAGTAAAAAGGCATTCAAAGGCAGAAACAATAGCTTGTGGAGTACAATCACACGATTGTGATGTGTAGTTCCCATTTAGAATTACCCGGTGTGCTGAGGTGGGTAAGAACTGTTGAGGGAGATGAGAAACGGAAAAACACAGGCAGGAGTCACAGGTGGGCGTGCTGGGGAGTAGGAAGCCATGTGAAGGTCCAGGTAACAGAATGAGCAATTGGAAAGTCTAAGGCAGAGGATGGCCATGGCACAGGCCCTCTCTGGCTCATCTGAGGAATGGCCAAGACCAGCATAGGTCGAGGGGAGTGTGAAAAACAGCGAGGGATACAGAAAGACCAGAGCGGAAACTGTACAGGGCAAGTCCTTGGCCACGTCGTGGGCTGGCGGAAAGCCCGGGCTGCCGGCACTGAGGGGACAACCCCAGGATCCAAATGAAAAGATCAAGGAAAACTAGAGACTAGTGGCTTTTGCAGAGCAACAATGGAGTCAGCCAAGGACTGGGCTCAGGGTCCTAGGGACGAGAAGGAGAAATGCGAGGCTGAGGACACATACCCGTCCATTCTCTGTCTCTTGACAGGCCATCAGGATCACCTAGACCAGGGGGCAAGGGAGAGGGAGGCCATTGGTAAGGAGAAGCAGGAAGGAGGGAGACCCAGAACCACGCCCTCTGTCCCTCAAAGCTGACCTTGACCCCAAACTCCCAAACCAGGCGCCAGAAGTCCAACAGAGTGTGAGGCAGGGGTCCTTGTGTCGCGATGTAGGCCTGGCTTCCATCTGTGCCCTGGGAAAGGCCCGTTCATTAACAAGATTCTGAAGCCCACCCTCCCCACCCCCGAGAGGCACCTCTTCCCTGGTCACTAGCCTGACCCGGATGAAGTTGGCATTGATGTAATCTCCGTGTCCCTCCTCCTGGAGCAGGGAAAGGATAACGCGCGTCTCATCATCTGCCAGTGGGTGAGACATGTGGAGAGGTGTGTGCCAAGTATCTGACAGCTTCCCGGGCGAAAGCAAGCAGGGTAACAGAACGCCAGTGTGTTCTGCCCCTTGTGGCTTCGTGGAGTAATGCAGCTGCCTCAAGTATGGGAAGTAGAATGCTTTGGGGGAGCTCTTGCCGCCCCCGCCCCCCCCCGCCCCGCCCGGCAGTGGGTAGCCGCTGCCACCCGGGCACTACCACCTAGCGTTTGTGCAAGTGGCGCCGACTCCCTAAAGACACCCACTGACTTACATGGCACCACGTCTTTGTAGCGGTTCTTCTTGGCGTTCCCAAGCCGACTGCCGACCTTAGTGGAGCACACACCTCCAGTCTTCCAGGCCAGTGAGCGGGCCTTAATATCCTGGAAGAAGGCACCACGAGCCAAAAGGCAGAGAAGAGGCAAGAGAGAAGAGGCAAGAGAGAAGAGGAAAGACGCCAGGTCAGAGTGTTGGGACGCTGAAACATCCCAAGAGTTCACCAGACCAGGACAGACTAGGGCAGACCCATCAACATAAGGATCTGTGTAACAATATCCAGCAACAGCAAGTGAAAAACACGCTCAGTGCTAGGTGACTCAGTCATCCTAAGCGGAAACTACCCACTGTTCCCGTTGTGCAGACGAAAGCTGGCGTAGGAAGTGGTGGAGCAACTCGCTGAAGGTCCCACAAGGAGACTGACCTTTCAGACCTGCACACTCAACCCCTATTATACTGGACTATACAATAATACAGACCCAAAAGATTGCTCGGTGGGTAAAAGCACTTGGTGTTCGGGCCTGAAGATTTGCACTTCATCCCCAGATCCCACACCATAATAAGGAGCGAGAAGCAATACCAGAACGTTGTTCTCTGATCCCTACATAGGTGCTGTGGCATGCACAAGACTCCCACCCCCACACAAATGAAACTGAAGCGAGGGAGATGGCTCAGTGGGTAGAGGTACTTGCCACCAAGCCTGATGAGCTGAGTTCGATCACCAGGATTCATAAGGGAGAGGGAGAGAATCAACTCTCATAGTTGTGCACACACACACACAACTAAAAAAAAAGTTCAAAATCATCCTTGGCCACATATTAAGTTCAAGACCTGCCTGAGCTACATGAGATACTGTGTCAAAAAAAATTAAAATGGGTGTTGGAAAGATGGCTACGTGGTTGAGTGCTTTCTGCTCTTGCAGAGGACACAAGTTGGTTCCTAGCACCAGCACCAGCCAGCTCACAATGGCCGGCAATTCCAGCTTCAGGGGATCCAACACCCTCTTCTGGTCTCCAAGAATCCGTGTGTGTGTGTGTGTGTGTGTGTGTGTGTGTGTGTGTGTGTGTGTGTCACACACACACACACACCAAACAAAATTTTTAAATAAATGCTTTGTACAAGATACAACATGACAATATACCATATATATATATATATATGACTTATAACATACAACATATAAGAAGATGCTATAGGTACTTCATAACTGGTACATTATTATAATTAGTGAAGAATATTACTCTAATTATCAGGTGTTCATAACTGCAACGATAATAAACGCCTATCAAGGTGCCATTGTGTTCGGGCCACCAGCCCAAGGTGCTTGACTTATGTTGATCAGGTTATTCCAGCCCCCAGAGACATCTTCCTATAGTGGTGTCACTGTTGGAATTTCAATCAGAGGTAGGAAAAATCAAAGCCCTGGAATGAGGGAGTGAGGGAGGGAAGGAGAGAGAGAGGGAGTTAGTGAGGAAGGGAGGGAGAGAGGGAGGGAGGGAGGGAGGGAGGGCAAGATTCTGCATGGAGCTCTCAGAACTGCCCTCTTCATCAGCCTGAAGGATACATACATATTTATGGCCATTTTCATGTTTATAAACTATATATTTTAGGCCGGGCAGTGGTGGCACATACTTTTAATCCCAGCACTCAGGAGGCAGAGGCAGGAAGATCTCTGTAAGTTTGAGGTCAGCCTCGTACACAGATAAACTTTGTCTCAAAAAAATATGCATATAACACATACATTTTTTAGTTATCGTATTTTACATGTATAAATTATTTAGATTCATATTTAATTTACACATGTTTGTTCTGTATATTTACTTACAAACTTAATCAATTTGTTTTTTATTAATGTTTGTTGTACGGATTGTGGTATTGTCATTAGTTTTTCATTTGGTTATTTTTTTGTCTTTTTTTGACACAGGGTCTTTCAACACAGCCCTGGCTGTCCTGCAGCTCTGTGTAAACCAGCCTGGCCACAAACTTACAGACATCTGCCTGCCCCTGCCTCCTGAGTACCGGGATTAAAGGCATGGGCCACCACAGTGTTGTATTGTTAGTGGGTTACATAATGGTCTTTGTGTAAACTACCTTTTCCTTTCTTGGAGACAATCTCACTCTGCATTTCAGAGTGGCCTCAAATTATGGAACTCAGGCTGGCCTTGAACTCACGGTGATCCTCCTGTTTTAGGCTACTAACTGCTGGAAATACAGGCATGTGCCACCATGCCAGGCTGTAAGCGGCCATTTAATGCCTGTTTTGATATATTCATAATACATATCTCTAAGTTTGATAGAGCGTGTTTACATATTTGGATCATGTCACTATGTTTAAAATACTTCATTACGTGTTATATGCCATGCCTGCTGAGTGCTGTTCCCCTCTCACAAGTATAACTGGCACTACCTGATGTAACATCTAGAAGTTTTGTAAGCCATGTTAAAGGCACCTATCCAGTGAGTATCCAACATGTGCTAGGAAGTGTTTCTACCAAAACCACCTAATTTCTCAGACCAACTTGGGTTTTAACATTCACATTTTCAAAACAGTTGAAATTGAGGT